CTTTATTAATTACAACTATTTTTACTTTTATTTATGAAAAGAAACATGCATTTCACTGAAGATTATGATACAAGTCCACTGTTTAGCTGCAAGTTATATGATGTTAAAAGGGTTAAAGCTGTTTAAAAGTTCAAAGATGTATATATACTTGTAAAAAAAAAAAAGCAATTGGTTACTTAAAACAACTAAATAAAATTATTAAACAACCTCATTACTCAAAAATAAACCACTTACTTGAAATAGTTGACATGATTTTTATAATTCTGTATATTCTGATCATTTTAAGGTAACGAGTTTACACACTATCTACATGTCTGTCTGTCTGTCTGTCTGTCTCTTTGTCTATCCTTTAACAAGAAGCTGTAAAACAGATAAAATTTGTATTAATATTAACAAGTTGTCAGAATAACACAAGGCATCTCTTCGATTGCTTAATTTCTGGGTAATCAGAAAAGGTAAAATGTTTAAAATGCTACATCTTGGCCTAGATTGCAGGAGCATCGTCTTTTAGGTTAAGGACTGTGAGCTGCTTGCATTTGTGCAGACCTCAGCAAAACAGAGGAAGACCGACTCCAGTGATTCAGGTCTCTCAAGTAATATAGCAGGCTAATTTAAACCATCAGGCATCTTTATGTAATTAATCAGTACAGCAGGCCTGCACCGCACAGCAGATTGAGGCTTCTACAGGCCAGAGATGAGAAAGATCAAACTCTGCTATAGGAAAAAGAAAAAAACGCCCTTGACATATGCAGAATCCCTGAGATCCAGTGCTGAATAAACAAATAAATAAATAAATGAAACAACAAACACGCAAGTCCCAATCGATACCTTGACCAGGGCAACTGGATGGCAGCCTTTCTTCTGAGCTGCATGGCCATGGAGAAGTAAAACAAACAGCGCTTGTGTAAAGGTCTTCAAACCCCAGCCGGCTCAACCTGCCATTGATTATGGTGATGGAGGACTCAAAGGGCTGTTTGGCCACCAGACACAAGCACTAGTGCACATCTAGTGTGTACAGATCAGGTCTCATTATCAGCACATAACAAACGAGAAGACACAGCCAGGGACACCGAGCTTCAAATGAGCCTCTCAGAACATTAAAATTTAAAATATATGTGTAAATGAAGGAGATCTCTTCTGAAGCGAGGGGCTAAAGAACCTATTTTTCTTTCCTTGTGCCGTTACAGTTATAGGCAATGTAAAAGAATGCCACTTGTTTGCTTTTACTACTATTTTAAAAAGAAGCATGGAAAAAGCAGGACTTGTGCCGATTTTAAAGTGAGGAGATTAAATATGTAATTTTTGTCCCTTGTGCTATCAGCATTGTTAAAGAATGTGGCTTGTTAGCATGCTAATTTAATTAAAATAGTTGGTTATTATCAGTGCAAAGGATGCAACTACATGGACTGCATTTTCAGTAGTGTAAAAGCTATTCATTTAAAAAAATCGTATTTGTAGACAATGACTTAAAGGATAAAAAGTCTTATTGCACACTAGATTACGTACACTTAATGGCCACTTTATTAGGTACACCTATCCAACTGCTCGTTAATGCAAATTTCTAATCAGCCAACCACAAGGCAGCAACTCAATGCATTTAGGCATGTAGACATGGTCAAGACGATCTGCTGCAGTTCAAACCGAGCATCAGAATGAGGAGATTTAAGTAACTTTAAACGTGGTATGGTTGTTGGTACCAGATGGGCTGGTCTAAGTATTTCAGAAACTGCTTATCTACTAGGATTTTCATGCACAACCATCTATAGGGGTTTACAGAGAATGGTTAGAAATAGAGAAGATATCCAGGGAGCGGCAGTTCTGTGGGCGCAAATGCCTTGTTGATGCAAGATGTCAGAGGAGAATGGCCAGATTGGTTTTAGCTGATAGAAAGGGAAACACACAACACATCAAACCTTGAGGTAGTTGGGCTACAGCAGCAGAAGACCACACTGGGTGCCACTCCTGTCAGCTAAGAACAGGAATCTGAGGCTACAATTCGCACAGGCTCACCAAAATTCCACAATAGAAGATTGGAAAAACATTGCCTGGTCAGATTTGTCTCGATTTCTGCTGTAACATTTGGATGGTGTGGTCAGAATTTGGCATCAACAACATGAAAGTATGGATCCATTCCTGCCTTTTCAGGCTGGTGGTGGTGGTGTAATGGTGTGGTCTCGGGAATCTAGAATCTCTGAGGAATATTTCCAGTATCTTCTTGAATCTGTGCCATGAAGGATTAAGGCAGTTCTGAAGGCAAAAAGGAGTCCAACGCGGTACTAGTAAGGTGTACCTAATAAAGTGGCCGGTTTGTGTATATATTACTAAATAAAATAAAATGTAAATAAATAAATCTAATTTTAAACTACATTTGATTACAAACAAGTGACAGCTACGAAGTTTAAACTGTGACTGTCTGAATTAGCTGTTCTAGTTTTATGAATAAGACCACAAATTACATTTCCTATTTCAAGAATCTTTGAAAAAGGATACAAATTTCATTTAGGGAATTTGTTTTTGTTTACATACACTGTAAAAATATCTGATAATGAACCATTTTTGTATTTTGTGTTTTCTTTTATTTATGGTTGTAAATTGCATTATGGAACCTTGATCTCTGCTCTGTCGAACTTTGATGTTAAAAATTCAACTCTAAAGTTGAACAAAGTGACTTTTATTGACATTGTAGTAATTAGAAACAATAAAATGTAAAAGAAATAATATATAAAGAAATAAGTCTGTTCTATAAGACTTATGAAATAAGTCTTTTTTAGTGCACAACAACAAGAAAAATCAACATCCCATGATGCAATTTAAAAGCATAAATAAACAGCGAGAATAAATATAAAAACATTTATTACAAAAATTGCCAAACTTAATTCACGGATATTTTTTACAGTGTACTGTATGGTTGATCTGTGCCATGTTCTACTTATTTACCCCCTTTTTGTGTCATGTTAGAGAGGTTTTTTTCTACTTAAAAAAACCCCCAAAAACATGTATGTCGTATGTGATTTGTTTCTTCTGATTCTGTATTTAAAAGCATAGTGTAAAGCTTGAAAATACTGTAATAAATGTAATGTTCATTGTTTGTTCATGTTAGTAAATAGATGAATAATAATAATAATAATAATAATAATAATAATCTAATTTCAGATTATTGTGAATCTTGGACAAATGCTCATTTTAAGATGAAACATTCTAGTCATATGCAGTCTTATCTAAAATTATATATTATTTATGCTAATAAAATTTTCAAAACTGCAAAGTTAAAAGTATTTTGGTCAACTTTTAAAACCCATAAGTTTTCCTAGATCAGATATTCTTGTTTTGTGTGATTGTTAAAAGCATTACTTATTTACAAAAAGAAAAATACATGATGCTTTTAGGCATTTTGCAAAGTAATAAAGTGCAATAGTATGTTTTACCAAAATTTGTAACCAAAATATTTAATACGCATTTAAATGCAAATATTTATATAACATCATTTATCCTATTGGCAGATGTTTTTGCTTGCTTTTAGTTTATGTGAACAACTTAGTTCCTTAGTAATAATGTAGCTTTTTACGCAATTTACTTTGTTCCATTAAGCAAGAAGAAGCATTGCTCGTGTCAAATTCTGAAGTGAGGAGCTAAAAAAAACATATTTGTTGAGCTACAACAGTTAGACATCGAAAAAGAATGTGGCGTGTTTGCATGTTCCACATTTTAATTTAATTATTTGGTTCCCTGTTCAAAGTGCAGAGATGATATGAACTAAATTTTCAGGAGTATAAACACTGCTCTTATGTAGCTTTTCCAGTAGCACTTTTTTTTTAAACAAGAAAAAAACATTTCTTGTGTAAAATGATATTCTCTATGCAGTTAAGCAAGCTGAAGCAATCATCAAACATGCTCTACTTCCATCTCTTTTTCTCAGGTGGAGTGAAGAATTGAAATTCATTCTATTGAATTGGTTTGTTTGGACAAGTTGGTTTAACTGGTTCAGAAGTAGCATATTAAGAAATAATTTAATCACTCGATTGTGTTGGTGAAACTTCCTTCATGGTATTTTATATCAGTCTAAAATAATTATTTAAATACGGCCGTTTATGCATGTATTTAGTCTGTATATATTTGTGTTTATAGCTGTTACACATCATGTAATCTAAGGAATAAAAAAACAGTTAGCTACTCTACAAAATCAGATTGATATTTATTTATCAGATTACATAATGTGTACCAAATAAATAAATATATCTAATTTTTGAGGATTTTATTCCTTTAAGCTATTCATTCATTCATTTTCTTTTCGGCTTAGTCCCTTTATTAATCTGGGGTCGCCACAGCGGAACTAACCGCCAACTCATCCAGCATATGTTTTACGCAGCGGATGCCCTTCCAGCCCCAACCCATCACTGGGAAATCCTTTAAGCCAATTTTTTTTTTAAATATAATGTCTCCTGATTTTAATATTAAATCATTTTCCATATGCACAATGGTGAGCAGCATAGAAAAGAAGTCCATGTCAATAAGGTCATGTCATGTCAGTGTATGTTTGTGTGAGTGAGATTGCCTGTGTGCACATGGTTTGGGTGGTTTACAAGAACAGAAATTTTTATAATGACATGGGGTATTACAACATTGATAAGGATTATGAGGACATACTTCATGTCCTTGTAATTCAAAACTCTTTAAAATTAACTTAAATACTTGATGGCATCGTATCACATTCAAAATTGTCCACATGTTTTCTGTGAGGGTTGGGTTTAGTGGTAGTGCCATATACAGCCTAAAATACATTAGGCTTATGAAGAGTCCTCATAAACCACCAACATACTCTTGCATGCGTGTGAGATCTTTTTCATGTTGCAACTTGCAAAAGGGTTGAATTTAGCTAGGTTTAAACTAAAAACGAGAAACAATATTACTTGTTAGCTACAAAATTGTTCAGTCTTCAAAATTAATTAAAACACCAAGTGACAGCCCAACAAACACACAACGTTGCCTCAACGTAGCGACCTTCCTACAACGTTGTACCAACATTGCAAAAAGGTTGAGGATTCTACGTTGTTGCTAAAGGTTGTCACAACGATGTCATAAGGTTGCCATTTAAACATCATGAGGGTCGCATGCTTTAGGTTGTGCTTAGGTGGCGTGGACGACCACTGTACAACATTTACTGGTCACAGCTGAATCAGTTTAAATTTCAACAAGCCGTCGTCTCATTCATCAACGACCGAGGAGACGTGAGTATTGCTTTATTTCTTCTTGCTAAATAAGATACGTAAATCGTGAATATTCAAACAAACCTACGATTTCGACAACAATCTTTTCCAACATCACATGTTAAATCTCTCGATAAAACATTTTCTGATTATTTACCTACGCCTTGTCTTTAATCAAATGGACAATCATGTTTTTGAAGTTCAGTTTTTTCCATATCCATCGTGATCAGTTAGTATGATACTTCATCACACGAGCCGACTCACTTTTTACAAAACACACAAAATAACTTTTAAAAACAAAACACCTCTGTGCATTTTGCGTCCCGTTAAAGGAACAGTTCACTCAAAAATGATATGTACTCACGAATTATTTGCCCTGTAAATAATAAGTGATTCCAAACCTTTAAGTTTCTTTATTCTGTTGAACACTAAAGACTGTAAGCATTTGCTTTCATAGTAGGAAAACACTATGGAATTACAGTTACAGTTTTCCAGCTTTATTTAATATATCTTCTTTATTGTTTAGCAGAAAAAAAGCTAAATAAGTTTGCAACAAATAAAGGATGAGGCTAAAATGGCAGAATTGTCAGTTTTGGGTGAGCTATCCCTATAAGTTAAAGTATATAAATTAATGTTCATATGCCTAATTAATATAGATAGTAATTAAAAGGTCTGCTAGTCTAAATTTCTATTTTGATTGGTCTTTTGATGTTTTATTTAAAACCCACTCTTTTCTTTACTCAACAGGCTATTTTCACATGGAGGTAATCTTCTATTGATAATTTCTGGATTTTAATTATGCGTAAGTTGCATAAAACTCTATTGTTTAACCACTTACTGTTGTTTTCAAATTACTCATGTAACTTGTCTTTCAGAATGTTTTCAGCTGTTGAATTCACCTCAGATCAGTGTTGCTGTAATTCCCGATCTATGGAAAGAAGAATTGGATGAGGTAAGAAGTATACTACTCTATTTACTATTAAATGTAGTTATGTTACCTAAAACAGCATGTCCATAATGTGGAAAATAGATCATGCTTATGAAAAATTACTGTATTATTTTGTACAGCTGTTATTGAAATGACACTAAGTTTAACATTCCATTTACAGCGAGCAACGCCACAACTACAGGGCCTCTTCTTTCTCTTCTCATAATTTAAGTAAGTATTCGGAGACTAACTCTGACTTCTGTTAACTTAAACCTGTTTTCCCTGTAACTCAAAATTTATTTAATTGTATGTAATTTTGGGATATATTATGAAAACAATAAAATAAAGTATAGGCTACATAATTACTCTGGAGATTTTATATGTAATGAAATTACAATAAATGTCTGAAACTTCAATAACTTGCTAGTCATAGTCATTTCCTGTGTAGTGCTGTTGTGTCAAGCTCTGATCTGTCCTCTCTTGTTCACTACCTATTTTGACTTGTGTCTGCTGTGGATCTCTGAAGCTGGATTATCCGTTGAATTTGTTTCTTCCTCTGACTGCTTTCTCCATACCAACAACTACGACTGGTCTTCAGCTGCGCTCCCCGGTCTGCTGTATTCTCCAGTCCAGAGCTTCACTGCCCAGTGTTTGAATTTTAATTTATATATTTATTTATATATTTATTTACATTTTAATGATTTCTTGTTTACTTTTCTTGTTTGTTTACCCTTTAGTTTAATTATATATATATATATATATATATATATATATATAATCTAAACTTTATTTTATACTGTTTGCTTATAATTAGATACTGTATGTGTACTGTATGTATTAAATGTTGTGAAATATATAATAAAAAGTTTGATTATATTCATTTGTGTGGCATTTTTACACTTTAAAGTTTACACATGCAATTGTTAAATTAAATAGGAAAAATAAATGAATAATATTTCATATTTAGCAATACTGGAAAAGAATTGCTGCTTATCCTGTATTCTAGGCAGTATTGATAAACTGCCACAAAAAATATTAATACAAGTAGTAAGAACGCCGCCTCGCGGTTGCTGAATGTCGCACGACAACGTTGCTACAGTCTTCTCACGTCTTACATTTCTACGTTGTGACAATGTAGCGAGCACGTAAGAGACAACGTTGCCTTTAAAAAAATACAACGTTGTGCAGACATCGCTACAACGTATATGTGTTTGTTGGGAGCTAGCTGTATTAGCCAACAGATAAATTGGCTACTCTAAACAGTTTAGGGAGATTTTATATTAATTTATAATTGTAACAGTTACATCATGCAGTGAGGACCACTCACCATGATGATGTCCAAGGGTTTTGGTGTGTTTTTTTTTCAGGAGCAGAAGCGTTCATTCAGTCACGCGCCTCTGACTTTACTACTTACACGCCTCTCCTCAACTAATTCAGCCTCATCTGCGTCCTTCACAGCACACACTGCCCACACACATGAAAACACACACAGAAAAGCCATTAACGCGGACAAAATGACACAAATTGAAATGCAGCAGCCAAATGATAATAATAATAATAAATTACTTGTGGAAAAAATACTATCCAAGATGTGTTTTGAGTTCTGCACATTTTGACAGCTCTACGTTCTCTCAGCATTCTCTAAATAAAAACCATGAGGCGAAACCAACGCGCACAGAAGAACAGCCTATCATACGAGTCGATAGACATTACATTACTGCCATCTAGCGGTCAGCGCTGATCCACTCCTTTTCCAGACAGAAACAGTGTTCACTAGGAGACAGAAATTACATACTTTTGTATAGTGTATGTATGTGTTTGTGTGTTTGTGGCAAATTTGGTCTTATATTTCAGAATTAGGGTGTTTTTAAAAAGGCGTATTGTTGTTTATTGTGTTTAACGTAGTAAAAAGCACCAGTCCTAAACCCGACAAACACATGTACGTTGTAGCGATGTCTGCACATCGTTGTGTTTTTTCAAAGGCAACGTTGCAACTTACGTGCTCGCTACATTGTCACAACGTAGAAATGTAAGACGTGAGAAGGCTGTAGCAACATTGTCGTGTAACATTCGGCAACCGCGGGACGGCGTTCTTACTACTTGTATCAATATTTTTGTGGCAGTTTTTCAATACTGTCTAGAATACAGCAGGATAAGCAGTACTTCTTTTCCAGCTTAATATAGTACTATATATTATAATACAGTTTTTTATTATTTTATTTTTTATTATAGTATAATACAGTTATTAATTATTATTATAATTAATAATAATATATAGTACAATACAGTATTGCTTAATATTAAATATTGTTCATTTATTTTTCCTTCATAATTTAACAACTGCATGTGTGAGCTTCAAAGTGTAAAAATGCCACACAAATGAATATAATCAAACTTTTTATCATATATTTCACAACATTTAATACATACAGTACACGTCTAATTATAAGCAAACAGTATAAATAAAGTTGATTTTATTATATATATAATATAGTATAATATAAGTTAGAATGCAGACACTGGGCAGTGAAGCTCTTGACTGGAGATTACAGCATACATAATACATATCCTAATATATTTTTACGAGACTATACAATCACATTTAAATAAGGAATAAACCTCATTAAGATTTTAGCAGGTACTTTTTAGGATTTTTAGCATCTAAAACATTTTAGACCCTCTCAAAAAGCACTATAGTGTACTAATTTATAGTAGGCCTAAATACTATGATGTCATTCAACTGTTCTTTTAAGTATCTGAACTAAACTGTTGTAGTAATTCTATAGCTACTGTGATAATGCCAAGACTAGTTTTTACATCTATAGGGTGTGTTATACAACATTTCACCACAGTATACTGTAGAATAATATAAAGTATATTACTGCATTTACTTTGATCTATCAGTTCACTATAATTGATACGACAGTATGTTGTAGCATTCATCAGGTGTAGTAAATTTTATACTATATACAGTATAATACACTTTAATATAGTGTGGTTCAAAAATAAGTTTCTGCTAGTACCCTGTTAAATTATTACATCTTCCCTGAAGAATTCCTGCATCTGCATGATTCTTGCAAAAGTCTTGTATGTTCTCTGTAGGATTTCTGCAGGAGTTCTGCATGTTTCCTGTTGGATTCCTGCAGGAGTCTTGCATTTTCCCTGCAAGAGTCCTGCAGGAGTCTTACAGAAAACTGGTTACAAAATCCTCTAGAATACTATAGAAATGTGCAGGTATGTGTGGGTGGGATTCTGCAACTCAAATTGGTTGAGTGGCTGCCTTGTTGCCAAATGAAAAAAAATTACATATTACATATGATGAAATCCATGGCAGGTGTGCATACGTCAAGTCATGGGTCAAGTGACAAAAACGATTCCTTCTTACAAAGGAAAAATATGAAGTAATCCAGAGAAAACAATGTCTTTAATTTATGATACAGACAGAATATACTTGGATCTAATGTTTAGTCACTGGTATTTTTTTAAAGTGATGGTTTTATGACTAGCGCACTTAAAAGTCTTCAGAGACCAAAACAAACGCTAATAATCAAGCTTGTCTATTTAATGCACTGTGACTTGGTTTTCTTTTCTGACTGAAATTATTTAGTCTTAATGCTTTTATTGATGCTGGAATAAATTAAATCGTCAAATGATTGTATCATCAGTGTCACACAACGACGACAAAACAAGACAACAAAAATAACAATATTTTGTTCCTGTTCTTTAGTCGCACATAAATCTGTCAGTCATCTTGGATCATCTTTATTTTAGATTGAGTCCATATATACTATAACTGTAGAAAACACTTTTTGGAATATTTTGCTTTTGACTACCTCTACAAAATACTTTGATTTTAGCAGAATAACATTTACTGTTGGAAAGTTTTGTATTTGAAAATCACCTCTCAGGTAAATAAATGAAAACAACACCTTCTGTAAAACATCATTAAAAATTGGGCCTAACAGTTCCATCTTGGGTGAAGATGGAATCAATTGGCATTAAGTCTGATTTACCTTTAAATTTGTGTTTATTTTTAGCAGAATTTAAATATCTTTAAAAAATGTTTCCAATTCCATAGTTATAAATATGATTTCCACATGGTTTGACATGAAAAACAAATGGGTGCCTGCTATCCCTTGTCTTGTTTCAGTCTAACCTGGGGCAATAAGAAAATTTAATTAGGTATGTTAGATGCAGGATTCAAGATATGGGCAGAGAAGGGAATTAGAAAGATAGCAGATTTATATGTTAACAATATTCTTATGTCATTTTGAGGAAATTGTTAGCACATACAGTATTCCTGCAAAACGTTTCCTTATGTATTTACAAATAAGAGATTTTATCCTCAAATAACAAAATAATTCTCTGAATATGCCATCATTGTCTATTTTGGAAAAAGTAATAACGAAAGATTGTTTTATTGAAGGTTTAATTTCTGCATTATACAAGATGCTGGTGCCAGGATCAAAGAAATGTTTATATTGTAAGTTGGAAGCTTGGAAATCAGATCTTAAGGAGTATATTTCTATAGAGAACTGGATGAAGACATGCGAGGAAGCTCAACCACTAACACTCATCTGAAACTGTTACAATTATAAATGGTTGATGAGGATTTTCATAATTCCAGTTTATTGCATAAATATAATGAAAATATTCCAGATACTTGCTTGAGATGTAGGGACCTTGATGAACAGAACGCTGTATCACTGTATACTGGAATCTAAAGAAATACAGACCTTCAGAAAGGTGTGAAATAAATGATAAAAAAGATTCTTAAGGTTAAAATACTAATGTCTCCTTTACTTTTTTTATTTCATTTATATCCCAAGGAGATCAAGCTAAAAAAGACGGAGCATACATTTATGAATATTTGTATTCTGCAAGCCAAATGACTTATTTCTTTCAATTGGAAAAGTATATGTGCACCAAATATAGACCGTTAGCTGAAAGAGATGGTAACAAACATGTCAATGGAAAAAATAATTTATATATTCAGAAATAAATACATAATTTTTAGAGTTTGGGGATCTTTTATGTTGTTTTTAAAAGGTGGTGGAGTTGGAAATGTTTTAGAGGATTAGTAAGAGGTGATATTGTATTCTGATGTAAAATACTGAGATGCTTTTGTTTTGTTTATTCATTTGTTTGCTTGTTGGTTTATGTTATATCTGGCACATGGAAATGCGCATGTACATTTTATTCTATTTTAACAAGGAATAG